CTCTTCTTGGTGCCATATCAGATTCCTGACGTCGGCGACACCTGGCGTAGGTTTGTAATCCGCCAAGGTGTATACTAGGGAAAGTTACTACCCAGAGTGGTTTCCCGTTGCCTTCTCTGGGGCGCGATGTTACGCGAGGGGAAAGAATGCCTCCCGGGAGGACTTTTATGGGGAACTGGCCTCTTATTTAGTCGTTATCGGCAAGAAGAAAACCCGGAAAACTCCAAGCAGCCAGCCTGTCCGATCGCGGCGCGAACCCACGACAGAACTCCCAGTGTTTAGGGTACGAAGACCGCTCGGCCACTGGTGAGCCATATTTATCTTAATTATGAAAATATACTAGCATGTTTTTTAATTTTTGGAACCTAACCCTCCTTTTCGTATTAGTTCTTTGTTTCGTATAACACGGATTCGCATAACACGGCAATTTTTTGGAACGTAAGTACCGTGTTATACGGGGGTTACCTGTATATTATTGTAAAATTTAATTTAGTACGTGAAAAAGTACTTCAGATAGTAAAATAAATGCTGCATTCTTTTTCCTGTTAACTTTATTGTTAGTCTTAATATTTAAAGTTTTCCTTTCATAGTTTAACATTAATATATTTAATACCGAACTATTCTAATAAAATAGTAATATTTTAATTATTGTAAATTAGTATAACGCGTGTATAATGGCCTACTTAATATTTGCATTTAACCTTCTTTAAAAGAAATATTTCAATTCAAATATAGTACGTCTCTAGTCATCTGCCAGCTAAGGTATTAACTTTTCAATATACAGGTATACCTCGACTTACGTCGTTCCCGATTATACGTCGTTTGCCAAAAAAAGTATATGGAGAAATAAAAATCAAGTTTAAGTCAGTTTATTCGACTTTACGTCTGTCCGCCACAAATATTGAAGTCGTAATATCACTAGAAAAACGTTTAAAGCACACAAAATCATAACAAAATACTGTATATACATTTACGAATATGTACTGTATTTACAGTACATGCATTCGTAAATTTAGATTACTTTTTTCTGTACTATATTAAAAACTAAAATTTATTTGTTTGTAAGCTTAAAATAGATCCTTATTAACCATATATTATTAAAAATGTATTAATAAATAAAATACAGAACCGGAAATTTATGGTTTAACCAAGTGACAAGTAAATTCGACTTACGTCGCCTCTCCTGGAACCAATTACCGACGTAAGGCGAAGTATACCTGTAATTATCACACTTAAATACCCCGTCTATAAACTATGAATCTACATACATTTTAATACAAATTACAGCCACTATTGAAAATCCTCTGAGTTTGTTGATTTAACGGGAAATAGATCATTTATAAATGATTTATTTCCCATTAAATTGAATGATAACGTAGTTCTCCCAATGTATTAAAATACAAGCTTTAAACTCGGTCCAGATATCATCATTTCTACGTTCAGTAAAGTTATTGAAAATGTATTATATAAGAGGATTTTTATATTTATACAAATATGCGACATTATCGATCTTAATTGGAATAGATTTAAGCAAAGTAAACCGATATTACACAAATATTTTTGTGTAATACCGGTTTACGAAGTCTTCAATTGCAATGGATAATTTTAATATTATAAAGTTAAAGTAAACAATTCAATATTAAAATTCTTTAATTTAATTAATCATTTTAATGGCACAATTATAACATTTCAATCAACTTCATAACAGGTAAAGATTTCCTACAGGGCAATTTGCACTGAACAAGCCTTGTACAGTGATTAGTTTTAAAATTCTATTTTTTTTAAACAATTAGTAAGTAATATTACGTATAAATTTAAACAAAATACATTCGATTTTGCATATTGTCTACTACTTTAATCGCCTCTTTAATACCTTCCTGTATAATAACTTCTTCCCGTTCTGATACTTCACTACTGGAACTTGACGTTCCTTCCATTTTCGCTATTAAATATTGTTTTGCTCTAAAAGCGGCAAGGTCCGCATACATAACTGGACACGGGATGGACACACTTCTGGTACATCTGACATAAGTGTGGCATAGATAGTAAGTTAACACTTGTAGCTCGTCAGCTGTGAAGTTATTGTCGTCCCACAGAACCGTATAGTGGGCAGGTCTGCTTGTACCTTGAATCCCCATATGGCTGCATAAAAAGAAATCGTAGAAAACGGGATGCACTACGTCTGTATCCACTGTAGTACCGGGTGGGATGTTTCCTGGTCTTCCCACACCGTCTTTTCGATCTGCAGGAACGAAACGTGTATGATGACGTTTTCCAGTTACAATAAATGTAATTGGAGGTTCGTATCTCTCCCCTCGAGCCATTTCTTCACAGGCTTTTCGAATTTCAATCAGTTCATAGTCCAAAACTTTTTTGTATTCTCCTTCGCTAAGACCGTCTCTAAAAAATATGATTTTTTCCGGTCTCTTTCCTTTCGTTCGATTGTAAAATTCACGCAAAATTTCTTTCATCATGTCCTTCAGATCGATCACTATATCCTGTCCAAATGTTGTCTGATCTACTTTCTGTTTCTTATGCTGAACACGAACGGAGGCCTTGAATTTGCTCGGATATGAATCGAGGCTACCCACCACTGCTGCTATCGAATATCCTATTTTGTCACCAGGAGCTGGATGAGTACAGTCGACACCTACAATAATCACAGGTCTCTTCAAAATTGCAGGCTTGTCTGCAAGCGACAGAGAATTGTTAACTCCACCCATTTTGGCATTAATTTTTTGACATAAATTACAAATTAGTTGTGGGTTGCATTTTCTTCCCGTGGCATTTATATCTTTTATACATTGGGTCATAAGTCCTAGTTCTGTTTCTGCAACTGTTTTAACTTCTGAATAGATGCTTTCTGATGGCAGCACGATTATGGCTAATTGCAAATCTGGATAAATATTCTTTGCTTGTCTAAGTATACCTGAAGGTCTTCCATCGCGACGTGTGAAGCGCTTAATAAGGAGAGGTTGTGCAAATTGTACTCCTACACTTCTTCCACCATTACATAGCATTTTCACAAAGTTGTCCAGAGCATTCTCGTCGCAGAATCGAGCCATTGAGAAACTCAGCAACACCCATTTTTCAATTGTTACTCCTGTATAAAATCTCTTGCCTTTCATATCCCAGCTACCGTTGAGAGGTCTGATGTTCTGCTCTTGTTGATAAGTTATTTGGGGAGGATCCAACATTCTTCCCGTAAACTTCACGGGGTTGGGACTTACACGAACGCCAAATTCTCTTGCGAATGGTTCGAAATCTCGCATCAAAGCATTGACTGATTGTCTTATATCATTGAATCTGTCAGCAGGAGGACGAGCCGTGTAGCGAATCATATCAGCAGTTTGTTTTTCATTTAATTTCTTTCTGCAGTGTTGACCTTCAACGATATTGCACACTTCCATTGGTAAATAAACAGCTCTGTTATCACTTCCCACATTTAAACAAGGTAAGTTGGGATTTCTTAATGCTCTATATTCAGTACGAAAGTATTCAGATACGGAACACTTAACATCTTTGTCATTAATTCTTCTCGTAAAAAATGTATTATTTGCACTTTCTCTTGTTATATCTCGAACTCTGTACTTTCGAGGATAAGGCAAATGGGTTACTTCAACTTTCAAAGTCTTTATTTCTTTGGCTACTGTCCGCCTTTGGGCATCGGTCAGACCTCTAAACTGTCTTAAAGACGATTCAATATTTTCAGTATCCAGATTTAATACTTCGAACATAAACTGGATAACGGAACAACCTTTATAAAATGTCGTAGCTGATTTATCTATGTTAAGCATAGGCTTCCATTTTGTCAGCTGCATACTTTGATGATGACCAAACCAAATTTCTCTTCCTTCACTCAACGGAGGAACTTCCTCCATACGTGGTTTGGTGAAGAATGATCTTCCTACTGGCACCAATCGTAAGGCAGGACCGTGTCTTAGTACGGTTTCTATGGCCATGATTCCCAAAATGATACCTTCCGTTATATCACTGCATCTACCAGCTAACAACTGATGTAATGGTTCTAAATTAATCGAATTATCTGCTGATCTTCTCATTGTATCTTTTCTATTCACAGGTTGTATTTTTATTTCGTAATTTATATCTTTATCAGGATTAAATTCGTCTGCAACCTTCACAGTCATCACTTTTTGGTCTTTAAATGGTAACAAGTTTCGTGTATAGAAATTTTTCTCTCCGTCAAATGCCGGCCGAATATTCTTAAACATTGGCACCTGCTTAATCATTGCTTCTACAATATTTCTGTTTTGTTTTGTATTCAGGCATTTATACTTTTTATGTTTGGGCAGTTTTTCACCCGCATCACTTACAGGTATAAGCTTTTGAATATCTACGTCATAATGGTATATCTCTCCATCTGGTATATCTATAGGAAAGTAGTTTGCTATTAAATTGATCTTTCTACCTTTAACTCCAATTCCTGGTCGTTTAGCGAATCTATTATGCATGGAACCACTGAAAGTCACTTCCAGACCCAGTCTTTTCATAGCGCTTGATAGATATTCCATTGTAGTTTCCGATTGTGCTACCGTAGCAAGAGCCATTGACGATGGCTGTCCACTCTCACTGGGAATTGGTAGTTTTTCCACCAAGCTAACCCTTTCAGCACCTAGATATTTTATTAAATTTGTACTATATTAGTTCGTTTGACAGACTGTTATTTAAGGAAAATGATACACACCTTTCGGTGCAGGTGGTTCTGCAACACTTTCACCAGGTACTGCTCTGGCTGCAGGTTTACTTGTTGTAGGTCTTTCATCTTGTCTTGATACTGTCGCAGCTGGCTCCTCAATACCGGGCGATACAGCCGGTTGAGATTGCTGCTTCGAATGACCACTTCCTGCTTAAAACAAGAGAGGAAAAGTATAAAATTGATTAAATTGTGAAATAACACTGAAATGAGTCTAAATGGCGCTGCTTTTACATGTAAAACTAGGGTACACGCATTTGGCCATCCAAACGAATTGTTTCTACAATTACGATTTTAGATTGGGCAACCGGTGTTTATGTCGCAGAAACATTAGTTAGATCGCAGTATTTTTGCTAATTACCTAACTGCATGAAACTTTTCGTAGTGCAGCAATATCACAGTTTGTCCTGCCAGATGACAAGAGCGAATAACATAGACACTTCCTTTTTATGCTCTTGTATTGTAATACTCCTGTCAATAAATACTTTATAACTTATAACTTTCACTCACAAATCTCTAAATTTACATTGTATGAGCCTTAAATCACCAATTAACTCACCTAACTCTTATACCGATCACATTTGCATTTTTTTATATAATTAATCTTCATGGTTAATTTATGCAACATTTTTCATTCGAATAAAAATTAAAAATACCCTTAAATATTTTCCTGACTAATTAATATCTTATTTTATATTATTATAAGTGAGGTACCCCGCTTTACCTAGAAAATGATATATTATGTAAAAGTTAGACTCATAAATAATAAAAGTAATTATTTACTATTATGTGAAATTCGAAAGTTAATAACAGCGTTTAATCCTTTAAAACTTTAACAAATTTAAAATAAAAATGCCCTCAACCAAAAGAATTTGACCCTACGAAAACGAAATATAAAGGACATGAGAGAATTATAACTCTCTGTGTTTTAATATAAACATTCTCACGATCAAACCGTATATAATTTACAGTTATCGGCGAAATTCGTCATATTGTTGTCATTCTAACACCACCTTTAACCCCACACCTGCTAAAACAATTGATCACCTGACGAATTTTCCCACCAAAAAGGTATAAAAGCCGGCCTCCTTCCCTCTCTCCGGGGGGAGTCGCTCGCGGATTAAGGAGTCACCCATCGAACGACCAGACGTACCTTCACGTCCAGTTGACCGACTGCACGACACTGATTAGAAGACCTTGTGACCAACTCGAATCACCTGTCAGCAATTAAACAGACGAAGTATCCACCCGATACTGTCACAGAGGTATGAAATATAATTGTAAACTCGCTCTCTCAGCCGCGGAGTTTTGTACGGTTTTTATTTTGGTAGCTAGTAAAATAAATCGTTGTTTTGCTTTAAATGGTGTCGCTTCTCGACTTTGCTCACGCCTTATCGTCGACCCCTCCGACTCTCCTCCACTCGCGTAAAGCGTAACCGAACGTTACTACCATCCTTGACAAGAAAGAAGGTCCGAGACCTGTGGCCGGAAAGAGAGGCCAGCTCCTCCCTCCCGGTGGCTCACAAATTGGTGTCACAGAAGTGGGGTTTGAATCTAAAAATCCCTAGAATCCTCACAAATTGGTTTGCAGGAGTGGGGTCCGACTTTATCGGTAAATCGATAAAGCGAAGGAGGCTATAGTCGAGAAAGTAGTTGATTTAAATCGTAGTAGGGATTGTTTAGACCTAAGATTTATTTAGACCTAGATTATAAGTTTAGATAGAGTTAAGCTTAGAAAATAGACCTAATGGAGGAGGCAGCTCGTGATGCGGCTAGGGCAGGCAACCCAAACCCAAATCCTAACCCAACGCCGAATCCCATTACGTTGGGAGGATTGAGTGGAATTATTCCTTTATTACCTGTATTCTCGGGCGAAGCTGGAGGCCCAAGGGTGACAGACTTCTTTGATTCATTAACAGATGTCACCAAGGTAGCGGCATGGTCGAAAGCGCAAATGTTGGCCGTTGCCAAGCTTAAGCTTACCGGGATAGCCAGGGAATTTGTTAGGAAAGACCGTCGAATCAAGGAAGTGGAAGAATTCGACGAATTTAAGCGACTGATGATAGAGCGTTTTGACCGCGAACCCTTTACATTTCGCCTGAATAGATTTTATACGTGCGTGCAGAAACGGGATGAAGACGTACAAACGTATGCCGCTCGCCTACAGGCGTTGGCCATGGAGATAGAAATCACGCCGGAGCCTGGCGCAACTGCCACAGAAACAGCCATCATTCACCGAGTCCAAAGCAAGGAGCTAGATGAGAGATTAAAGGCACAATTCCTAAATGGGATCGATATACGCATAAGGCAGCGAACAATGTCCCGAGAGCCTGCCACCTTCGACGACGCGCTTAAAGCCGCTATTAGTGAGGAAAGGATAGAGAACCTTACCGCACATCCTCGAGGGATCATGCGAACAATTAGGGAAGGCGACAAATCGACCGATTCCTCCCCCTCTTCAAATGAGCTACATCAATTAACTGCAGCGATGAACGAGATTAAAGCTCGCATGGAAAGTTTAACAAGACCTCCCTCTCAAAATAGTTTTAGAAACCCTGCTTCAAGGAGAAACCAGCGAGGAAGTTATACGAGTAGCAACTATAATAACAATAATACGAATAATAATCCGACCTTACGGCGAAGGGACTATCGTTCAAACTCCCCTAGTCGCCAATTCGATCAAGCGAGCAGAAGACCTAATACGAATCAATCCCGGAATCGGAACGCGCCCGGACCGCGACCTAATCAACGGAACGGACAATCCAGGCGTTCGCAACCTAGCTTCCCTAGGCGACAAGATGCTGAAACTGAAGGAAATAGAGTACGATTCCGATCTCCGCCGAAGGAAGAGACGCAAAACAGATGGCAGGGCAATGTACATAGTGTTGAAAGTCCCCGACCTCGATTTAAATATAGAGGGGCAACTTCTAGGCTCCCTCTCTCTACCTTTAGGAGAAAGCAAAGGCCAGAGTTAACCTTGAATAAACAGAACGATAAGAATTCGCTAAAAAAGTATCGGGGAAATTCCTCTCTGCAAATTTCTAAATATACCACTGAGAGAAGTGAGGCTACATTTGACTGTTGCATAGGAGGCAATCCAGCGATAGTTCAAGTAGACACGGGAGCTAAAGTATCGCTGTTATCTAAGGCTTTTGCCAATAAAATGAAGGAAACAGTACCTATTCACTATAATAAAGAAACGGACCTGAGAAGCGCTACTGGACATTTAATCAACACCTATGGTATTACCAGCCCTATGTTCCAGATCGGAGATTTACAATTTCCTTTCGCTTGTTGCCTTGTAGATATAGACGTGACCAATCCCTGTGATGGCATAATTGGCCGAGATATGATAACAGAAAAAGGATTTTGCATTGATTTAAAAGGGGGAGAAATGCTAATTCCTCTGCATACTGTCGTACCTTTTCATACTCCAGGGAGTGAGAGGAGAAGAATGGTAAGAGAGAAAAATGAGGAAGAAAGGAAAACAGCATTTAGTAAAGGTAGGCGAGGAGGAATGAAAAACAAGCCGTCCCAAACAGCGGAAATTAAGGAGGCAAAGAAAAGAGCCAACCAACTGGACGAGCGGGAAGAAGGAAAGGAAGTAGTAATATTAGAAAATTGTCAATTGCCTCCGTTGACCGAAAACATAGTTACCGCTCGGATTTTGGGAATCAAGCGACCTGCCCAGGTCGGAGTAATTGAAACTGATTCTGTTGGTTCAGAGGGAGTCTCCGGAGTAGATGTACTGGTGACACCCAATAAAAAAGGACAGGTTCCCGTGCGATTTCGTAATGATTCTCACAAGACAATTAAACTAAAGAAAGGTACTAAAGTGGGACTCTTTTTCGAGGCTATAGAGAGCTCCGATCGCATAGATAATATCAAGGAGGGAGCGACAGCGAACCTTTCGGAAGAGGAATTTAGTCTACTTTTTAACTGGAATGGGATCCCAGAGGAGAAGAAGCAAGACCTACTGACCTTAATGTATAAATATAAACATGCCTTTGCTACGAACGACTATGACCTAGGATATTGTGATATTGTGCAACATCAAATAAACACAGGTGATGCGGCGCCCATTTACTCTCCGCCCTATCGGATCCCTTATGCGCAATGCCAGCAATTAAATGAGATTATAGATGGCCTCTTGGCCCATAATATAATTGAACATTCTACCTCCCCTTGGAGTTCGGCTGCTCTCCTAGTAAAGAAAAAAGATGGTACGCTTCGCTTGGTAGTCGACTATAGGAGGCTAAATAAGATTACTAAGGTGGACCCATACCCATTGCCCATTGTACAAGAATCCCTTAGTCTAATGGGACAAGCCAAGTACTTTTCGACGATGGATACGATCTCAGGTTTCTGGCAACTAGGGGCAGGTGATAAGGAGAAGACTGCCTTTTCCACTCCTGATGGGCATTATCAATGGAACCGGGTCCCAATGGGCCTTAAAACNCATGGTCAAAAGCACAAATGTTGGCTGTTGCCAAGCTTAAGCTTACCGGGATAGCCAGGGAATTTGTTAGGAAAGACCGTCGAATCAAGGAAGTAGAAGAATTCGACAAATTTAAGCGACTGATGATAGAGCGCTTTGACCGCAAACCCTTTACATTTTGCCTAAATAGATTTTATACATGCGTGCAGAAACGGGAGGAGGACGTACAAACGTATGCCGCTCGCCTACAGGTGTTGGCCATGGAGATAGAGATCACGCCGGAGCCTGGCGCAACTGCCGCAGAAACAGCCATCATTCACCGAGTCCAAAGCAAGGAGCTAGATGAGAGATTAAAGGCACAATTCCTAAATGGGATCGATATACGCATAAGGCAGCGAACAATGTCCCGAGAGCCTGCCACCTTCGACGACGCGCTTAAAGCCGCTATTAGTGAGGAAAGGATAGAGAACCTTACCGCACATCCTCGAGGGATCATGCGAGCAGTTAGGGAAGGCGACAAATCGACCGATTCCTCCCCCTCTTCAAATGAGCTACATCAATTAACTGCAGCGATGAACGAGATTAAGGCTCACATGGAAAGTTTAACCAGACCTCCCTCTCAAAATAGTTTTAGAAACCCTACTTCAAGGAGAAACCAGCGAGGAAGTTATACGAGTAGCAACTATAATAACAATCATACGAATAATAATCC